CCACATTCCTTTTCTTCTAGGTAATTTTAACAATACTAGCCAGAAAGAACACAGGAAACAGATTTCCACTCTGAGTCACTATTATCACTAAAACTCAGAGAACGTTTCACAGGGCAGGAGGAATGACTCGGACACGCCCCGCTCAGGGCCTCATTCAGAGTCCTTTGCGTCAACTTTGAATCTGAGCAGCTCTGGTGAGTAGTATGGTCAGCTTTCCCCCAGGCATTCTTTAAAAAAATAAGTAACAATTACACATACTATTCTAAGTATGTTACAAAATGAGCCAGCTCTTACTGCACGCTTATGATGTGTCCAGTATTGTTGTGAATGCTTTACATAAATCCTTAGTATAATCCTTGCAAAACCCAACTGGTCTTGTTTTGCAGGTGAGGAAACTGAAGTGTATGTAGGTGTGAGCAGTTCCGTGTGATCGCAAAGGCCTTCCTCCGAGTCACACTGTGAAGCTTACGGCCTCGGTGGACACTTGAGATATGTAAGACTACACAGGAATCTGATGTGTGGAGGCACAACCAGTGCGCTTGGTGAGGGAAGAGTCCTTAAGGAGTGGGGGACAGAGGTGAACACACGATGTGATGGGGAATGAGATCACCACCTGAGTCCTGTTTAAGCTTCTGAAGACAAGCTTCTCATCAACTGGGTATTTGTACCTGAAGTACTTGACCCTAAATTAGAGAACACAGAACTATTCAGTCATGTGTCAACTTCTTATAGCATTTTGAGCATAAAACAGGCCATTTAATATTTCGTTGTAACTAGTTTTGTGTTGTTTAGTTTTCTGAATAAGAACCAATTGGGTATTTAAATATTTGACATTTTTACAAAAAAGGCTGTTGGGATTTTGATAGGGATTGCAGCGAATCTGCTGGCTGCTTTTATTGCCATCCTAAAAATACTTCCTTCCAGTCTGCAAACACAGAATGTCTTCATTTAGTCAGCATTGTTCTGTAGTTTCAGTGTAGAAGTCTTTTATGCCCTTGGTTAAATTTATTATAGGTATTTTATTCTTTTAGATTCTATTGCAAATAGAATTTTCTTAATTTCGCTTTTGACTTGTACTCAAAACAAATGATTTCTGTGCATGGATATGTACCCTGCAATTTTGTTGAATTTGTTAATGCTAGATTTTCCTGTGTATGCTTCAGAATTTCCTCTACATAGGATATCATCTGTGAGGAGTGAGTTTTACTTACTCCTTTCCAAATTGGGTGCTTTTCTTTCTTTGGCTGATGACTCTGGCTGGAACCTCCAGTGTAATGTGGAATGATGGTGGTCAAAGTGGGTGTCTTTTCTTGACTGTGGAGGAAAGCTTCTAGTCTTCACCACTGTGAAGTTGGCTGTACGTTGTCCTAAATGCCGGGACCTTGAGGAAGCTCTTCTCAGCCCTCTGTTCTGCTTGTGCCTGCTCTATTCCGAGTTTTCTGAGTGTCCACCACCGCCACTCCATCACGGTGTGCGGTCCCTTCTCGATGCTGTTGTGTTCAGCTCGCCAGTTCTTATTGAGGCTTCTTCACCGACACCCCTGACATGCTGGTCTGTGGTGCTTTTCTGGTGGTGTCTTGGTTTCGGTGTGAGGGTGACACAGGCGTCAGAGGTGGGTTAGCGCTCCCTATTCCTGCCTCTTTTATTTATTTTTTGCAAGAGATTGAGGATTCATATTAATTCTTCTTTAAACAGTTGGTAGAATTCACCAGTGAAACTATTTGGTCCTGGATCTTGGGATGATTTTTTTTTTATTACTGACCTAATTTTTCAGAGCACTTTTAGGCTCACAGCAAAATTGAAGAGAATGTGCAGAGAATTCCCATTATCTTCTGCTCCCCCCTCCCCAAGAACTTCCCTACCATTAAACCCCCTCACAAAGTGGTTTGTCTTAGGATCAGTGAGTCTATGCTGACGTTATCCTGTGTGCGTGGCTTACATCAGGATTCACTCCTGGTAGTGGGAGGCTCTTGATCGCCGATGAGTCCCTTTACTTGTGACAGCCCTATTCGGTTTGCTGCTTCTTGAGGCAGCTTTCGTGATTTGTGTTTCTAAGAATTTGTCCATTCCATCTAGTTTATTGAGTCTGTTGGTGTATAGTCGCTCCCTTTTTATGTGTATGAGGTTGGTAATAATGTCCCCCCCTTTCTTTCTTAGTTATCTGCATCTTTTCTTCTGAGCCAATCTGGCTACAGGTTTGTCAATCATGTGGATCTCTTGAAAAAACCAACTTTTGGTTTCCTTGATACTCCATTGTTTTTATATTCCCTACTTCATCTTTGCTCAGTTTCCTTCCTTCTGCTGGCTTTGGGTGGTTTGCTCTTCCTTTTCTTGCCCCGTAAGTATGATGTTAGGTTGCTGATTTGAGATCTCTCTGTCCCTTTTGTGTTTAGTTTAGTTAGCTGTGATCATTATGAGTTGTTACATTGACCCATTTCAACAATTGCAAACATGTGCCACTAGTTTGTGGTTACAAGAGTGTAGGTACAACTGAAAGTTCTTTTTTTTTTGTAGTAAAATATATATAAGATTCACCATTTTTAAATGTATAATTTGGTGGCATTAAGTACATTCACATTGTACAACTGTCACATTCTAGAACTCCCCATTCTGCCTCCCCTTAATCCCTGGTAACCACTATTCTACTTTGTCTCTGTGATTTCATTATTCCAGGTACTTCATGTAAGTGGAACCATACAATAACTGTCCTTTTGTTTTTAACTGACTTCACGTAGTGTAACATTTTAAAGGCTCATCTATGCTGCATCTGTCCCTTTTTTGTTCCCTTGAGGGTAAAGAATGCTCCATTGCATGGATATACCACGTTTGCTTACCCGTCCATCCATCGAAGAACACTGTGTTCCTTCCCCTCTGGGCTCCTGGGAGGAATGCTGCTGTGAATGCTGGTGTACAAACACCTCGTTCACCACCTGGAGTCCTTGATTCAGTTCTTCTGGGTGCCTACCTAGGAGAACTGTTGATCTTGTGGTAGTTGTCTGTTCAAATTTTTAAGGTGGCTGAACTTTTGCAATCCTAGCAGCAGTCACAAGGGCTCCATTTTCTCCACATTCTTGCCAACATTCATTACTCTGCTCTTTTGACAACAGCCATTCTGATGGGAGTGAGGTGGCACTGGTTTACATTTCCCTAATTAGTGATGAACATCTTTTTATGGGCTTTTGGCCAACTGTATATACATATATTTTAGGAAATGTCTATCCCTGTCCTTTGCCCATTTTTTAGTTGGGTTGTTTTCTGGTTATTGATTTGTAATTATTTATTTTGGACTCTAGACCATCATCAGATATATGGTTTGCAAATATATTCCCCCCTTCTGTGGGTTACCTTTCCACTCTGCTGATAGTGACTTCTGATGCACAAAAGCTTTAATTTTGATGAAGTTCATTTATCTATTTTATATTTTGTTGCCTGGGCTCCTGGTATCCTGTCCAAGAACTCATTGCCCAGTCCAATGTCATGAAGCATCTCCTCTATCACAGTGAGTGACCCTAAAGGAGAGGCTGACAGCTTTTCCTCTCCGCACAGTGAGAAGCCCTAGAGGAAAGGCCGGAGAGCCAGACGCAGGGAGCAGTGTAAGGAGGACGAGGGCTCTGCCTGAACCATGTCATTCTGGGAGAATCACTATTCAAGATACAGAAGGTAGAGAAATTTATTGCCATTTGAAACTGTAACTCAAATGAATCAGAGAAAAACTATCACTAATGATATTAAAACGTTATTTGACCAGATTTGTCTTTGGAAGATTTCTCTGTTGATAGGCATTTCTGCAATTAATTGGCATAATTTGGTATAAACATTTTGTAAGTATTTTAAAGGCCTGTAAAAGGTGTTTTTTTTAAGGTCCATCATAAATAATGTTACATAACATAAATTAACTGACAGATTGCATTTTTTCATTGAGTATGTACAATGTTCTAGAAAGACCCTGCTTTCTACCCCATTTTACAAGTACCAAGTTGGATATTGTATTTATGTTCCATTTGCCAAAACGAACTCAATAGACTCTGTTTCTTTTATATGTCAAATCGCATCCATCCAAAATGTGCAATCAAGACCCTGCACAAAACCAGCAGGAGAACAGCTTTAGCTTTTGCTAAAGCACTTGTTAATGTGGCTGTGAAATATTTTAAATTTTCCTATCATACAGCATGTAGTTTTAAATGTTAGCCCTTCCCCCACAGTATTCCTGAAGCTGCCTTGATAGCCCAGAACCACCAAAAGGGAAAGGACCCCCCTCTCCTCATCAGTCCTACGGGGCCAGGATGCTTGCTCTAGAGGGCCAGAGAGCAGATGTTTTAGGCTCTGCAGGCCATACAAACCCTGTTTAACCCCAGCTACTCAGCTCTGCTGCTGGAGTGCAAAAAAACCACCACCCACAACAGTTCACAAATGGCTGTGGCAGCATGTGACTGACGACCAGTCCACCCACCCTTGCTTCGGACTGCTGACGTCAAATCTGCTCCTGTAAAGTACACAGCACTGTAAGTACCAGCTTCATGCCTCCAAGAATGGTACAGAATCCTTTTCTTTTAGGGTCCTTGAGGGAAAGCATCTTATAATGCCTAGAAAGCATTCTCTACTTTAATACATCTACACAGTGACATTGTTTTCTTACCCTGAGATATTTATTAAGAAAGAATAATCTGTAGTTCAGTACATGAACCTTTGGGGATATGTATTATTTAAGTAGAAATTGATATTACCTCTAGCATCGTAAGAAACCCAGCTCCCCAGTCATGACTCTTGGGTAATAAATGCCCATGGCACACTGCCACTAAGTGAGTGTTAAAGGGCCGTGAGTTCTCCCTGGCAGCGATTGCAGCAATTGAAAGTTATATTTTCATATCTAGTATACGGATGAAATCGTCCAATATTTTTCTTTGTAGCAAGTAAAGTGGTTGGTGAAGACTCAGAAAATGGATTATCAGGTGAGCTCTCTGTACAGGTAACTGGATCCAAAATGCGTAGGACCTAAGAAAAGAAGTGATGTCAGATATGTGCAGTAGGGACTGTAAAAGCCCCTGGTTTTATGGCTGTGCAATTACCTATAAAGTCCTACCTCTTAATATATAACTGCCATAAAAAATACCATGGGAATGATGAGCTTGACTGATAAGAGAACCTACCGCTTTTCTCCGAAAGCTCTCAATGTAACCATGACGATGTATCACATCACCAGGTCACCTGTCTTTAAACAAGAGGAAACTAATGTTCTCTTCCGGATACTGACAAAAAGCCTGTGGACATGTAAGAAAATAAGGCTGTATCCGTTCTACCTCAGACGATGCCAGCCTTAGGGAGTGGAGGCCACCTTCCTCCCTCGAGCTTTCATTCAATTGCCTGGAGTCAGGATTCCGCCTTTGTCTACTGTGCTTCTATTTCAAACTTTATGATCATTTACTTGTAAAATCCATAGCTTTTTATTTCTGTTCTTCTCTCTCACTTAGACCCAATGTCTTATGCTGCCAATCATGTTCCTGTTTCTCAGTTTCACGGGCACTGCGCTCTCCTAGTTCTTCTGCTCTGACTCTTCTTACTCTGTTCCTTTTACTGAGACCCACGATAAGGCCTCCTGCGCTCAAAAGAGCGTCCAGGTAAGGGCAAGGACAGCATGTCTGCTCGTAGCTCCTGTTTCTCCTGCTCATATTCTCCTGACCGTCATCAGATGAAGATGGGTTATGGTGCCAAGGAGGCAGGCACTGCGACTGGAGATCTACCGTGAAGAGCAGGGCAGGGCAAACAGCTGTCTGTCTGTTTTTTATATAAGGCTTATTAAAAAGCTTTCTGAAATGGCTGGATATGCCTGTTCCCCTTACTCTCAATTGTCCAAAAGTTCTTTTCCTTCTAAGTTGCCAACATACCCAAAGAGTTGTGACTAAATTAAGAATGTCTGGCATCATTTAAGAGCCACCATTCTATTTCAGGACCTCTATTTTTCAGCTGGATTACTGCTTTTTTGATTCAGTTTTTGAGATCCTTCTATTTTTATGGACCTTGGTCAGGTGTTAGCAGGCAAGCAGAGGGCTGACCTTAAAGCTGCTCATAAACTGGGAAGGGAAAATGAGAAAAGTACTTAAACACTCTATATGTTATCACATTATGTATTTTTAGAGAGGGAAACAAAATACAAAAGGAATTCAGTAAGAGGAGACTGAGATACCAGCATAGTTAGGAGATTCCTGGATTTTAGCCTGAAGGTGATGGGGATGGATGTCAAAGAGGGTGCCTTTCAAAGAAATCTCTCTATATACAGCCGGAAGGTGGGGGAAGGGTGGGCATGGAAGCAGACACAGGAAGAGCAAAGAAAAGGAGTTCACTCAATAACCGAGCTAAGAAATGATGACCCTGATGGGATGGGGTTGGAAGGCTCAGGAGACAGAAAGGATGCAGGACTGTCAGTTCTGGTAACAGAACTCGCTGGATAAAAGACCAGGAGGAGGCCGTTTGGGCCAAGTCCTGAGGATGTCCAACACTGTGGTGCAACGGGATGTCCGAGAAAAGCCAGGGTGTGTGGTTCCACGGAGGGTGGAGAGTGTCTGCAGAAAGCGGGGAGCAGCGACTATACCAGATGCTACTGGCAGCAACCGAGGGGCTGGTGACACAAGTTCCCAACAAAGAGAGCAGAAAGGAGAGCAAAAAGGATAAAAACGAGGACTTTGGTTTTAGGTACCGATTCACTCAGTAAACAGCACCTATGATGTGCAAAGGATCATGCCAGACCTTGAGGAAACACCAGCCATCGCCCGTCCTTCAGGAACTTAGTATGGGCGAGGCGGGCAATCAGTCACGACTCACTTGTTACACAGCGTACCACACATGTGCACGGAGTACAGCGCACGCCTGCAGGGAGGCGCACCTAAGCCTGACAGTGAGGTCCAGGGAGGGCTGGCCTGTGAGGGCAGAGGGGCAGCAGACAGTCTAGGCAAGAGGGAAAGTGCACGGAGGCCTGAGACGCGGTGGCCAGCCTCCAGGATGAAGAGTGGTCAGGCTCCTAGGACCGGACGTGCAGTGGGTGGGCACACCTAGGAAATGGCCCTTTGGAAGATGGAGTAAAGTCATGAAAGGCCTTATGAAGATCCAGGTTCAGTGATGAGAGGCGCTGGGAGTGGTTTGACCATGAGTACCAGGGTGACTGGATTGACGTTTGACTTCGGTTTGGCGTTTGGGAAAATGCTCCGGCAGCGGAGGCCGGCCTGGGGGCAGGTAGGAGGCGAGGCAGGAGGCCGGCGAGGCAGTGCTTCAACTGTGGAGGCTGCAGGCCAGGCATCTGAACTCAGGGGCGCGGGTGGATGAGAAGGAACTGAGAGGGTCTGTAAAACCTCAGGCGGGAGGCTGAAGGAAGGGCGGCAGTGATGGCTACAGTGCATTGGGAGCTGCCTCTAAGCATCTCTATGGGCTCCACGTGCATTATTTGGCAGAGTCCTGAAGTAGGTATCCCTACATAGTAGGTACAGGATGAGGAGAATCAAAGAAGCAGGTTCTTTTTGTTTCCTTCTTTTCTTTTGGAGGGAGGGGTGGATACAAATACAAAGGCAGGAGAAAAGAGGTGCTTTTATTTTCAGCTGTGAGATGGGCCTACAGAGATCTCCAGTTGGAAATGTCTTTTCAACTCAGGAACAGTATCTCAGTTGGTCACAAGCATAAACCCATGGGAACTGGAGGGTCCCCAGAGAATATAAAAGTCTCTCTTTCTCTCTCTCTCATGTGGGGACACAGGAAGAGGGTGCCCCCTCCCCCAAAATACTGAGAGAAGCAGTGGAGAACTGGAAGGGTGTGGTGGTTCAGAAATTAAGGGAGATGAAATGCGTGGCGCACAGATTCCTACAGGACATCAATATTCAAAGCAGGATAAAAGGCTCCTGAGGGCTCAGAAAGGTACAAGGGCCAAGAAAGGGCAATGTCCCAGAGGCCCAGCAGTACCAAGGAGGGGGACAGACACGAAGCGAGACAGTGCAGCAGTGCTGGAGCCACCGTGGCCTTTCCAAGGGCTGAGGACGGGGGGCTGGAAGGCTACAGGAACAGTGACGGCAGGAACCAGCAGGCCGATGGCGTTATGCTCATACAAGTACGGCCCAGCCTCTCCAAGACTTGGCTGTGAAGGGAAGGTGCTAAGGCCACATCCAGACAACTTAGGATGGAGGGAAGGTTTTCTTTGGATGGGAGACACCTGGGTATGCCCTTAAGTGACAAGGAAAAGCTACCAGGGAGAAGGGCTGGCTCGGGGCACCTGCCAAGCCAGGGTTGTCGTCTGGAGGGAGGAGGGACGGCTTTTCCAGTAAGGCTGGTTGCCATGCAAGTGGGCATCTCGATAGCAAGTAGGGCCTTGGGGAATCTTCTTTCTCTGCCCTCCTTTTCTTCTGAAAATTAAGTCATCTGTGGAATGTGAGTAACAGTTTGATGGGTATAGAAACAAAGAAGGCAAACAGCTGACTGACACAGGACTGGTTTTCAGGGTCCTAGAGAAGGACAAGGAAGAAAGGCACCTAAGAATGGAGTCTAGGCAAGCGATGGGCAGTAAAGAAGCCCGCACTTGAGCTGATGAGACAGAGGAAAATGCAAGGGCCAAGACGATAAAAACTGTGATCAAGGGACAGGGTAATGTGAAAGTCGCCATCGCAGGCCATGGAGTAAGGTGCTGCACTCATCTTGGAGCGGGACAGTTCTGGCCGATGCCAAGGTCTGAGCTGGGGCCACAGGAGCTGTTACCACAGGCCTGGGAGGCTACAGGAATGACAAGTCACCTGCAGGATCAGTTCCACACCACCTGCTGCTGCAGTACTGGCACGTTCCAGGCTAATGTGGGGATTAATATAATTTCTTAGAACAGGAGTAATCTATTATCTACTCATGATTACGAAGTTAAAAATTCTACATGGTGGTTTTCATATCTAAATGAACTCAACAAAAGCATTATCAGTGATTCAGCAGCTAAGAAATAGGCCCTCTTTCAAAATAAGCAATTTTCTCCCTAAGAACAGAGTAATAATGTTTGCGAAAATTAAAGCTCAGAGGAGGAAATAACTTCTCCAAGATCACGAGCTCACTGGCACAAGGCTCGCGTCTAGATCCAGTATCTCCTAACTCTCGATGCCAAGCGCTTCCACTGTAACGTGACACCTTTCAGAAAGAGAATAAGCCTAGGAGTTCCATAGATTGCGTGAAAGAAGTATGTTACCGTTTCAGCCATTTTTTCTGCTGGAGTGTTGCAGAACTCAACTGCCGATGAGCTCTTTCTTTGACTGCTGGTGCCAACATCTCCCAGAAGGTGAGAATTCACTGCTTTTGCCAGCCTGTGGTTTGTCGATGCCAGTTCTGCGGTGGTGTGAGGCTGTGGCCTGGGGGAGGGGTCCTGCCCTCTTCCCCACCACAGAGAGGCTAACAGCTCCTCCAGCAGTCTGCAGAGGACACACGGGCCCCAGCATCAGGGAGGGGGCAAAACACGAAAACCAGGGCTACTAAATAGAGGCGAAACGTACTTTCGAAGTCACACAGTGTCCTTCACCCATATCCTTCTCTCAGAGATCAATAAATCAGGTCTGGCAAAATAATTTAGACTAGAGAAAATACTTCATATTTGCTAGGTTATTACCCAGAAATCATTAAACAGAACTTCAGTTCTCATACTTCAGTACAGGTGAAATGCACCCGCATACTCACTTGTTGGTGCAGAACTACTGATATGATTTGTGCATCAGCTGAGATACTTATACGGTCTTTCTTTTTTTGGTGTGTTACAGTAATTGAGTTTTGAATGATAAACCCACCTACACTTCCTAAGATAAGAAGTGCTTGGCCGTGATGTGTAACCCTTTTATACACTGGATTTAACTTGCTAAGCTGTGGCAGGGATTTTCCAGCTATGTTCATCAGAGATTGTGGTGTATAGTTTTCCTATAATGTCTGCCTGGTTTTGGAGTCAAGATAATGCTGTACTCATAAAATGAGTTAGAAATTGTTCCCTTCTCGAAGAGTTTAAATTTGTTTTTTTTTTTTCTTTCTTAGATATTTGTTAGTATCCACCAGTGAGTCCATGCAGACCTGGGGTTACCTTTATCAGGAGGCTTTGCTTTAAAGGGTTAGAGCTGTTCAGGTCATCTGTTTTGAGGACCCTTTGGTATTTTGTGTCTTTTAAGGAGTTTGTCCATCGCACTGAAATTGTTGAATTCATTAGCTCTGGTACTGGAGAACAGTCCCCCAAAAGAGACATGAAAAAGGGAAGACAGGTACATCTTCTGGCTTCTATTAGAAATTACACAAAACTACTACTCAAACCAAAACGACTTTTAAATCCAGAGTCATTCTATTATGGATATAATGAATTCTCTCCCCCATTAATACTGTGAGAAGCATGTTTTCTTATTTTCCCATCTTCCTCTCCTCCCCAGGCATCTACTTGAAAAAGCTAATCTAGGTCAATCAGTGTCGAAACGCTAAGGAACCACCACCGTAAACACAAACGCCGCTCAGAACGTTCGTTAACAACGTTAAACAAGGGCCGTACTTGCGCGTGGCGCCCATTTCCCGCCGCAGCTGTGCCCGCTCGCTCAGGAGGTCTCGGAGGGCGCCCTGGGCGTCGCGGTTCTGCCGCTGCAGGGCTGCCCTGGAGTTGGTCAGCTCATCTGCCATCACCCTGGGAAAGGCGAGACTCTTACACACAAGTTCTAGCACGAGGCAGTTAATACATACTACTTAAAGATTACTGTTTTAAAATCTTCACTGAAAAACATTTAAAACTTTATGAACGTAGTACCCGTTAAAGGGATTCAAATAAATTATGTTTACAAAATGACAAACATTTAACTTCCCTAGAGACGTTGAGGATGAATCTCAGTCCTACTCTAGATGATCAAACTTTAAACAAAATAACATTATTTTTTAAATACAGAAAATTTCAGAGAAAGACAAAAGTGAATTATTTTGCTATTACTCAATTACCACTTTGCCCTTAGAAAAATATTAAAATAATATAGAAATGTTTATATAAAAGGAAACCTAAGTTTTTCCTCCTGTCCAGCACCCCCATTCTTCTTGTATAACCAATAACCAATAAAGTAACCAATAAAGTTTCTTATAAATTTTTCTAGAAAAAAATTATGTATATACCAACATAAAAGTATGTTAAAAAATATATATCCATTTTTATTCATAACAAAGACATTATTTAATACAAACTTTTATGTTTTTTTCACCAAATACTCTTATCTTGGTGATTTTTTTTAATGTTAGCATATATAGACCTATCTCATCCCCTTTTTTAAAAAAAGAAGTTCCATGTTTTCTTTTGATTTGTATATACCAAAATTTATTTAACCAGTTCTGTAGTGATGGAACTAAAGCAAAATTTTCAAGTATTTAAATTATTCTGAAAATCTTAAAACTAAAACTGAAGTCCCAGGTCAGAGTAACCACCAAATTCCTAAAAATGAAAACAATTTTGATGTTGAAAGGTTAAATGAACTAAAATATCAATAAAGTTGAGTTTAAGTTTTATCGCTCTCAGAGTATTACCAGCATTCACAAAGACGTTAAAGAAATGCAGTATCGCAATAACCTGCAGAACGCATGCATGATCTGCCTCTTAAACTGTTCAAGGAGAATTGACTTGGTTTCTAAGTCGCTTCTCCAAATAACATCCCATGCTAGCAAAATTAGAAAGTAAATTAAGAACTTTATGAGAATGATCAATTACTAAAAGTATCACAGATGCTAAGACATAAACATTTTCCTAAAAAATGTATTCATCACAATCATTCATCACAATGCAGTGGGAAGTCTTTGTTGCTTTGTGAGAAATTTCCAGGTGACTGAATTTAAATCAGCGGTTAGTACACGTATGTGTGAAGCGTTCGGCTAAGCACTGGAAACACCAATGGGTAACACCCGCATCCTGTTCTCCAGGGACCCGAAGCTGGAAGGAGGAGGGATAAACCAGGAATCACACTGCAGACTTTCCCAAGTACCAGTGCTAACTACCAGTCCACATTTTAAATGAGATGTGAAGGGCTTGGGGCAATCTGAGTCAGAAATTTACACACTCCCATCTACTTTCCTGCATAAGCATCAAAAATCTGCTGGAGCAAAAACTAGGAAATGAGATACTATTTAAATAGAAAATACCTGCTTGCGAGGAATTTACTTCTCCATACATCACACTGTATTGACATACGCTCTAATTGTTCGGAGAGCTGAGCTGTGTTTTGACCTAAGGCTTCATTTTCTAAAATAAGGTGATTTTTCTCACGGGCTAGACATTCAAAGTGATACTGCAGATCATCCCCGACGGAAGCCACCAACAATTTTTTTAACTCGCGATTGACCTAGGGGAACAGAGGACCAATACAACAGGCTCAGAATAACATCAGTGACTTTGATGCAGCAAAATGAACAGCAGAGAAACTGTGTTTCTTGTCGTTTGGTCCTCCATTACTTAAAGTGTCTATCAAAGTGGTATTAAATACATGTCTCATAATATGTACAGATTATATCTCTCTCTCCCTATATGTCTATATTCTATAGTTCATGTGATCATAAATTGAGGCTCTTATTTATTAAAAGTACATACCATTATCATGAAAATTACAAACTGCTTCCAGTCAACACTTAAAGGCAAAAATTTTAAACCAATAAATTTTGCTAAAAAATATGACAGAATCTTATGTAACTTAAAAAAATGCTTTCCAACATTTAAAACTTAATTTCTTTGTGACCTATGATCTTTACTTTTAAGAATTTCAGCAAAGGAAGTAATTCAGGACATCTCCAAGGACACTCTCTACATTGTTGTTAACAATGCAAAGTATTAAAGCATAAATGTCCAGGAACAGGCAATGGTGTATGCCGGAGCCACTGAGGGGCCCTGCTGCCATCAATGATGATATCGTAATAGAATATTCTGACGTGGAAAGATACTAAAAACAAAAGAATGTGGGTTGTAAGGCAAAAATGAATTCTATATGTATAATTATGCATTTGTAGCTGGATAGGTGGTAATTTTCATCGTTTTTCTGTATTTTCTAAATGTTTACAAATCAATATGCACTACCTGAACCACGAACCATGGTGTCAGAGAGACATCATGTGGCAGGAGGACGTGTGGCCTACAGGGAAAGGGGGAAGGCAATGCACACTAAAGTGTGAAGATTCAAGAGCCACAGCTGAGCACAACCGACTGGCTTCCATCTGCCAAGGAGACACCTGTACTCACACCACCACGGCCTTTATTCCGAGTATTTGGGAGTCATGGGTCCTTAAAACAGGGACTGCTAGCTAGAGAACCTCGAAGTCCGCCCTGGTCAGTCTTTGGTCTGGAAGTTTACATCGGTGACCCCTTTACAACGTACAGGTGGTCTTGTCCAAAGCACCGCACAGTTCTACCTCACAGGTTTAGGATATCAAGTTCCCAACACAAACTGTTTCTGCTAGAGGCACTGAGAGAGAACGAAAAGTTTAAGAGGAAATTTTTTAGCGAATGACAAGCTACAATGAATGGCACTCCAAGGGCAAAGAGGCTCAGAGGGCGCCAGGTGGGGGCGCCCCAGCAGGGCTGTGACGGCTGCGCGTACCTCGGTCTGCACTCTGAGCTGGTTAGAAAGGCCTTCTCTGTCCTGGAGCAGCCTCCTCTCGGAGTCCCTGAGCTTGTCCAGGGAATTCCTCATCTCGGACGGGTCCCCTCTGGGCCCTGCCACCGCCTCTGGCTGACCGAGGAACTCTCCCTTACGGCGTCCCGGAGACCCAGCCTTCGCGGGTTTCTTGGGGACATCACGGGTCATAGCAGCTCTGGGCACTAATATTCTCACAGCCTCAACCTCCACTGCTTTCTCAGGGAGGAGCTTCCCCAGCTGAAGGACCCCGGGGCTCTCTGACGGAACCGCTTTCTTTCGTGGACTCTGAAGGACATGAGGCTTTGTGGGCTGGACTTCAGACGTAACTTCAACAGATTTAGCTGGTTCCTCAGTTTCCATTCCATCTCCTGCTCCTCGGATTGGGGTTGAAGCAGGGATGACTATAAAAGAACACAAAACATAAGCTACTTGCTGGAAACAAATGCCAGGATAATGCCGGATGTGCTTTATCCTACATTCAGTATGACTGGCACAAAAAAAGAACAGAAAAAACTCAGAGCAAAAATTAATTCTCAAACAATCAAATGTTAACAAACAATGAAAAAAGTCTTACATATGCAAACTTTTAAAGTGAATGGTTTCTTTCTTGGTAGAAAATGCAAGAGATCTGGAGTCAGAGTATTGGGTTCTGACTTTTGCTTTCTAATATTGCCCGAGATAAATGATTTCACCCCCTGTGACTCTCTACTTCCCAACCTGCACAATGGGGATGGTGACAGCAGAGCCGCAGGGCTGTGGTATGACTGTTGTGAGATGGAGCACTCGGCACACCGTAGACGATGACGTCAGGTACATGTAAAACTAGACACAAGCTCTGTATATGCATGTTGAAACCATCCACCCCAAGTGATTCATCTGTTGCTGTGACCTGGGAGAGAAGGCTCCGCACAGGCCACCAACGCCTGCCCCCGGCCCCTAAGGCCTCTGCATTGCCTCTGTTCTGCGCTGCTTGTCCTCTGAAGTGGACACTTTGCCGCTAGTCGTGGTCTAATATACCCCCGGGGGGTCAGCCTCCACGCTGCTCAACATCAACCCTGCCCGACTGTTTCAGCTTCTCTCTGAGGGCCTATGGCACTTACTGTCTCAAACATACTGTGTGAAAGTTAATCACGAACCTGTAATTATCATTTTACGGGCTCTGTCCATGCTGATCTCACCTTCCCAGCAGGTCTGGGTAAGCTCATTCCAGGCAGAACCGGCTACCACGTGGAAGAGCGTGGTGCTACAGCAATGACATGAGCTTTGGGATCAGCCAGATCTGGTCTTCAATCCCATTTCCACCATTACTACCTATGCAATCCTGGACAAAATCCTACAATCCCTGGGCCTCAGTTTTAACCTCCATAAAATGAATTTAATAGCATTTATATCTATGGTGGGTTGCCTGGTTTCCTAAAGGATAAAATGTTAAGGAACAACCAGTTACCACGTGCCAAACACTGTTCTAAATACATCCAGCTCACTTACTCCTTGCACCAACACTCCCATAGCCATAGGATCAGCTGTCTTACAGACGAAGGAATGTGGCACAAAGCGGCCTGGGATCTGCCTGCAGCCACACCACACTTCCTCTGCTAGTTAAGTGGGAGGCAGATTTGATTCTGTGATGATCTGGCCCCGAAGGCTGGGGCCTTAGCCACGGCACATGCTGCCTCTTCAAGTGTGACAGCGTCTTGCACACACATAACAAGCAGGTCTTCAATTAACGGCAGCTGCCAACCCCTTCACCTGCAACAGTGCACGGCGCGCAAGTCCACCAGCTTGCTTAATTAAAATAAACCATCTTCCCTCATACAGGCAAAGCTGGCTGCCATTAGTTACCACAGCTGCTGGAAGGCAGCTACACTCATCTCTCTACTCCCAGGTCCCAGGCAAACAAGAAATGTTTGTTTCTTGTCCTGTTTTACCTTATGTCAAGCCAAGTAGTGTAAGTTTGCTGAGTCATCTTTCTCCAGGGAAGGCTGACTCACTAGCTGACTGAGGAAGGAGGTGGTTGGGAGCTTAGGAGGGTGTGCCGGGATGGGACCCCTGCAATCCTCCAGGAGGCTGAGACGGCACCTCGCCTGCAGGAGCTCCTGCAGGAGTGCATTCAGAACACCCCTATGGGCCACCAGTCAGATTTCTGGCCATTTTACAATCCCAGCACACATCTGAGCAATGGAAGCCGAAGCCTATGAAGGGTAATTTTAATTTGGCGCAATTTACTCTGGGCCAGATGCAGAAAAGTCACAATGTTCAATTTTTACAACTATTCCAGGAGGCAGGCACAACAGTGCCCACTCTGTAGACTGAAACAGAGCTCTGGCCAGGTTAACAGCTTGTCCAAGTCATCAGGTCAGTGTGGGATTTGGGCCCAAAAGTGACTCCACAGCTAAGCTGTTAATGGTCCGGGAAGCTGTGGACACACTGGAACTACTGCCTCACCAACCTGAAGTCACTGCTTCTGCTAACAACCCACAAAAGCGCAGGGAATTTATGTGTTACAGTGAGAGACATGCGGACCTGACCTGCGTCCAGCCCGAGAGGCTTCCCGTTGCTCAGAATAAAGAGCGAGATCCTTACCACGGCCTGCGTGGCCCCCAGTGCTCTGACCCTGCCTGCCTCCTGGCTCAACCTCTGCCCTTCGCTCCCTCAGACCCCGAGGACTGGCGAAATATAGGGGAAGAACAAACACTCCTCCACAACAGGGGTTGGCAAACTTCATCTCTGAAGGGTCAGCTAACAAGCATTTTAGGCTTTGTGGACCATGAGGCAAAGTCGAGGCTACTACACAGTTACTCATATAAGAAGAGAAAAAAAACAATTTAAAGATGAAATTAAAACTGTAATAATACTGAGTAGAGTTCTTTCTTACTGTAGGTCTAATGAGAAGACTATACGTCATTTTTATTGGGTAACACTTGGTTTACCCCAAATAAGTCTACAAGTGGGATTAGTCAGCATTCCCCACCCAAACCACTGTAGATGCCCACAGCAGGCCTGGGGCCCAGATTTCCCCGCCTCTGCTCTAGAACACTGCGGCAAAAAAAAAAATACGGTTTGTCATGTATCATTCAACAAACATCTCTCCTTTTTCATAAAACTGGAAATCTGTGAAGACAGACACACTAAGTCACAGGATGGTGCAGCAGAATGAACACAAGCCTGAGTCAAAATAAGTCTACAGTGCCACACGTGTGACCCTGGGCGAAGCACTAAGCCCACCCTCCTCTCGTCCTCCGTGCCCTCAGAACAGAGCGGACACAAGAGTGTTTCGGAGTGATTTTGGTGATCCTCAGGCAGGAAGTGCCTCCTAGTCTCTCTGTCAGCAGACGCGTCGTGGTGATGCAGTGTCAGCACAGGAAAGACAAGCAGGTGCCTGCTGTTCATCAGTGTCGGCATGACCTGGGAGGCTTCATTTTACCTCCAAAAGAACTCATTTAAAAACCGCTCCATTTTTTCCCATCTACACTAAATCATTAATTCCTTACTCAGGAAAAAGTTCTGGCAAACTTTCTGAACATATGCCGATTCAGCTTAAAATAAACAAATAAGTAACCGTCACTTGATAATTTTAAATCAATATTCTTTTCAATGTCAGTAATAAAGTTTAATTACTATTAAAGTAGAAAATGTTACAGACGGTGGACTTACGAGGGAGGCCCACACTTAGAGGCGAGCCCCAGACATTCCCTCGGCCACCGGCTCTGAAGGGAGAGCCCCCTGGCCGGGGTTGGGGGGGCAGAGCCGTGCCCTAGCTCTGAGAGCCTCACACCGCACCCTCGTCACAAAGGGCTCTGCCAGCCTCTGGGGAATGATCTCTCCTTAGCCAGCATTTCCCAAATTGTCACCTAATACCTATTATTCTACAGAACTAGTGTTAGACTATTTCATGGAATTATAAATATTTAAATACTTCAGACTTTCCTATTCAGTCTACTCTCACTAAACTGTTTGACTTTAATTTTAATCTTGCTCCCAATAAAGTTTTGGACTTAAACTCAAATTTTCTAATGGTTCCTATTTACTGCAGAAACCCTAGCAAATGACACAGTCCTTTCATGGTGACAACATGGCCAAGTTCTGTCGCTAAGAACCCCTCCTGCTTCTCCTCTGAGGCAGTTACAGGGAGCGCAGGCAGCCCGCAGATGCCCACCGCGGTGAGGACACCTCTCCCCAGGCCATGCGACCCAAGGAGCTTCTGTTCCCCGACAGCACCTGACAATTACTGAGCAGAAATTAGTCATGTATTGACTAATAGCTGAATTATCTTTTATAGTAAAATTAAGAGTAAATGAAATGCTGTGCTTCATAACTCTAATCCTCATTACAAACAAGTAATAGCAAATCATAGTTTAATTTCACAGAGGCCTTTAAACAAGTAGCTTTTAATCACTAATGATAATATCGAATTTAACTTTTGTCAAGCGCTATGCTGTTTGTTACTGTTTCATTGCTCTTATTTCCTATTAAGCCACAGTTTATTACTTCCATTACCATCTCTGGCTTGCTTATTCTCATACTATGAAAGGCTGCTGGTGACTCTGAAATGCTGTTGTACACAGCTGGATTGAATTCGCTTACTTACTGGCATGATCTCCTTTTCCTGCTTTCTAAACATACTTAGCCCCCATCAAAGAGTTGCTCTTGGAGGTTTGCTTGCTGCAAAGCTGGCGTCCGAAAGAGTCATGTCTCACTGACAGCTCCAACCTCAGAGCCCCCTCCGCCTGAGAATACCTGAAACAGGAGTTCACTTTGGGACCTGCAAAGGCTGTCACTACGTCTAGCGAAGAAGGTCAGTAGGCAGCAGGCTGTAAGTAAGGGTCTGAATCACGAGTAAGAGAGCTGAGCTATAGGTAGATTAGGAATTATAGATAATTACCTGCTGTGAAAGTAGAACATAGAGGGCAGAAAAACATTGATATTTAAAAGATGAGGCAGACGGAGAGAAGGATAAAAAACAGAAAACACAGCTGGAGCAGCAACGCCTGACAGAACTTCCTGCAACAGAGGCAGCGTTCTCTATCTGCTGGGAATTTATGTGTTACAGTGAGAGACATGCGGACCTGACCTGCGTCCAGCCCGAGAGGCTTCCCGTTGCTCAGAATAAAGAGCGAGATCCTTACCACGGCCTGCGTGGCCCCCAGTGCTCTGACCCTGCCTGCCTCCTGGCTCAACCTCTGCCCTTCGCTCCCTCAGACCCCGAGGACTGGCGAAATGTAGGGGAAGAACAAACACTCCTCCACAACAGGGGTTGGCAAACTTCATCTCTGAAGGGTCAGCTAACAAGCATTTTAGGCTTTGTGGACCATGAGGCAAAGTCGAGGCTACTACACAGTTACTCATATAAGAAGAGAAAAAAAACAATTTAAAGATGAAATTAAAACTGTAATAATACTGAGTAGAGTTCTTTCTTACTGTAGGTCTAATGAGAAGACTATACGTCATTTTTATTGGGTAACACTTGGTTTACCCCAAATAAGTCTACAAGTGGGATTAGTCAGCATTCCCCACCCAAACCACTGTAGATGCCCACAGCAGGCCTGGGGCCCAGATTTCCCCGCCTCTGCTCTAGAACACTGCGGCAAAAAAAAAAATACGGTTTGTCATGTATCATTCAACAAACATCTCTCCTTTTTCATAAAACTGGAAATCTGTGAAGACAGACACACTAAGTCACAGGATGGTGCAGCAGAATGAACACAAGCCTGAGTCAAAATAAGTCTACAGTGCCACACGTGTGACCCTGGGCGAAGCACTAAGCCCACCCTCCTCTCGTCCTCCGTGCCCTCAGAACAGAGCGGACACAAGAGTGTTTCGGAGTGATTTTGGTGATCCTCAGGCAGGAAGTGCCTCCTAGTCTCTCTGTCAGCAGACGCGTCGTGGTGATGCAGTGTCAGCACAGGAAAGACAAGCAGGTGCCTGCTGTTCATCAGTGTCGGCATGACCTGGGAGGCTTCATTTTACCTCCAAAAGAACTCATTTAAAAACCGCTCCATTTTTTCCCATCTACACTAAATCATTAATTCCTTACTCAGGAAAAAGTTCTGGCAAACTTTCTGAACATATGCCGATTCAGCTTAAAATAAACAAATAAGTAACCGTCACTTGATAATTTTAAATCAATATTCTTTTCAATGTCAGTAATAAAGTTTAATTACTATTAAAGTAGAAAATGTTACAGACGGTGGACTTACGAGGGAGGCCCACACTTAGAGGCGAGCCCCAGACATTCCCTCGGCCACCGGCTCTGAAGGGAGAGCCCCCTGGCCGGGGTTGGGGGGGCAGAGCCGTGCCCTAGCTCTGAGAGCCTCACACCGCACCCTCGTCACAAAGGGCTCTGCCAGCCTCTGGGGAATGATCTCTCCTTAGCCAGCATTTCCCAAATTGTCACCTAATACCTATTATTCTACAGAACTAGTGTTAGACTATTTCATGGAATTATAAATATTTAAATACTTCAGACTTTCCTATTCAGTCTACTCTCACTAAACTGTTTGACTTTAATTTTAATCTTGCTCCCAATAAAGTTTTGGACTTAAACTCAAATTTTCTAATGGTTCCTATTTACTGCAGAAACCCTAGCAAATGACACAGTCCTTTCATGGTGACAACATGGCCAAGTTCTGTCGCTAAGAACCCCTCCTGCTTCTCCTCTGAGGCAGTTACAGGGAGCGCAGGCAGCCCGCAGATGCCCACCGCGGTGAGGACACCTCTCCCCAGGCCATGCGACCCAAGGAGCTTCTGTTCCCCGACAGCACCTGACAATTACTGAGCAGAAATTAGTCATGTATTGACTAATAGCTGAATTATCTTTTATAGTAAAATTAAGAGTAAATGAAATGCTGTGCTTCATAACTCTAATCCTCATTACAAACAAGTAATAGCAAATCATAGTTTAATTTCACAGAGGCCTTTAAACAAGTAGCTTTTAATCACTAATGATAATATCGAATTTAACTTTTGTCAAGCGCTATGCTGTTTGTTACTGTTTCATTGCTCTTATTTCCTATTAAGCCACAGTTTATTACTTCCATTACCATCTCTGGCTTGCTTATTCTCATACTATGAAAGGCTGCTGGTGACTCTGAAATGCTGTTGTACACAGCTGGATTGAATTCGCTTACTTACTGGCATGATCTCCTTTTCCTGCTTTCTAAACATACTTAGCCCCCATCAAAGAGTTGCTCTTGGAGGTTTGCTTGCTGCAAAGCTGGCGTCCGAAAGAGTCATGTCTCACTGACAGCTCCAACCTCAGAGCCCCCTCCGCCTGAGAATACCTGAAACAGGAGTTCACTTTGGGACCTGCAAAGGCTGTCACTACGTCTAGCGAAGAAGGTCAGTAGGCAGCAGGCTGTAAGTAAGGGTCTGAATCACGAGTAAGAGAGCTGAGCTATAGGTAGATTAGGAATTATAGATAATTACCTGCTGTGAAAGTAGAACATAGAGGGCAGAAAAACATTGATATTTAAAAGATGAGGCAGACGGAGAGAAGGATAAAAAACAGAAAACACAGCTGGAGCAGCAACGCCTGACAGAACTTCCTGCAACAGAGGCAGCGTTCTCTATCTGCACCTTCTAATACAATAGCTACCAGCCACATGCGGCTAATGGTGACAGAGGAACTGAATTTTTCATTTTTAAGATATTAATTTAAACTCACACAGCCACTGTGACTACCGCACTGCATACTGAAAGGCTACAGAGCAGGTTGCATGTAACAGTGATGTCATGGAATCAAGGAAACAAAGTATCTCACTGGGAGTATCAGCTCTGTGAGACATTAGAGGCCTAACACAACGTTTGGGGGCAGGACACAATGTAACTCCCATTAGCAGTTAGCAGGCGTCACCCATTGAATGGTGCTCCCCTCTGAAGAGTCACATGTTAAATCCTAGCCCTCCATACTACAGAATGGAGTGACCTCACTTGGAAATAGGGTCATTGCAGACACGATGAGATCATACTGGCGTTGGAGTGGGGGGGGGCTGTCCAATATGATTTCCTTATGAAAAAGGAGAAATTTGGACACAGACACACACACTCAAGGAGAATGCCATGTGAATATAAAGGCAGACACAGGGGATGTGTTGCAAGCCAAGGAATACCAAAACCTGCCAGCAAACTACCAGGAACTGGAGCAAGCCTGGAACAGAATTTTCCCTGTCACCTCCAGGGGTAGCAGGGCCCTGCCAACATCCTGATATTGGACTTCACACTCCCTAATGGTGAGACGGTGAGTTTCTATTGTTTAAGCCACCTGGTTTGTCCTACTTTGTTACAGCAGCCCAGCAAACCCATGTAACAGGAAAAGGTCTTTTATACCTGCTCGTTGTCCATTCACTTAAATCTTTAAAAATGTATATTCTTGTCTAGTTATATTTCAATCTTCTAGTGGTTAGAGAACATAGCTGTAAAACTTCGCTTTTACACCAAATATTTAACAGCAGTAGTCATCTAATGAACACAACACAATGATGTTAGCAGTCACCTGTGCATCCCAAGTACTGAAATGTAAACACAGCCTTACAAAACAAACACGAAGAGATCTGAAACACACCTTGGGAACGAGGACCCTGCAAGATCTAGTTACCCGCCTCAAACATTCCCTCATTAAGTCATCATCAATGCCATGTTTTAAAAACAATTATCATCAAAAGAACACTTACCTTTGGTTTCTAAACTTTCAAGAGTAGTCATTTTTCAACCTACGAAAATGCACCCCAAGACTTCTACCTAAAAATATATAAAACGTCAAGAGTTTAAACGGTACCATATACATACATTCGCTACGCCCCTGTAACTTAAATTCCATGCCATCGTACTTGCTTTCGCACTGGGTACACACGCATGTGGAGGGCGGGTGGCCCACGCATCCCTTCCGCACAGGGGGTGCTGTTATGGCTACCAAATGTCTCAAGGAATCAGGGGTGGTCCCCGCCTGCACACTCTACACCATCCGGCGTGCGTCCTGGATTCTGGTCCAGGAATAGAGGGGAAGTTACTGTAGCGGTTTTGTCTCACTGCCATGACAACAGGAATTTTTAAATAATTACGGCAATTATTTCCTCCGAAGGCATTACTGACACTGATTTGTCCACTGCAGATATCAGAGGGGTCCTTTGGTTCAGACGTTTAACGAGCGACAACAATATTCATAACTTAAATATGCACGTTCTTGGTAGCAGAAGGGCACTACTCGGTGCACGCACGGCCGGGAGCTCAGACCCGGCCTCACGGAGGCGCGCGAGGAAGGCGCCCCGACGCAATGACACCCACAGGCTGCACTGCCCCGACGCCGGGTGCCGCCGCGGAGCACGGCTCCACAGAGCCCGGCACGGGTCTTCCGCGCCCGCCCTCCTCGGCTGCCACCAGCCCTCCTCCCGCCCTGAAAACAAAGACCCGGCGCGCGGTCCGGAGTGTGCGCCAGGCGGCGGTCTGCCCGGCGTGCCGGCAGCCCCGACCCCCCGCCCGGGCCGCGTCCCCGCGGGAACCCGCCTTCCCGTAGCGCGCGCGAGCCTCCCTCCTTCCAGCGACTGTCAGCGGCTCCGCCCAACCTCCGGCCTTTGCCGACGCCGCCTCAGCCACGCAGACCGTCCTCGGACTTCCTCTGATGCCCCCTCCTCCGATTTCAGGGCTTCGCGCCAAGAGCCTTCCTCCCGGTCCGACGGGTGTCACGACACGGCGCGCGTCTCTTCCTCCCCGAAGCCGGCCGCCGGCCGCTTCCGTCATCCAGGGCTCGGTCACACTAATCACTTCCGGCGACTCAGGCTTTCGTTTCCGGAATGCTTTTCCAAAAAAGCACCATAAACCTCTGTGGTGTGTGAAAGCTCCAGTAATACAGAACGTACTGCATAAGTCTTCAGTAAGTGAAAACTGTATAGATGCCTATTTAAAAATAAAATGTAGACAATTTGGCGCTCTAGCCTCACAGTCATTTAAATTTCCGGGTTATCTGTCAACCAAACAGGAAGTGAGCCTTCAGGAAAGAGGTGGGCGGTGTTCCGTCGCCCCAAGTGACTCCTGAAAGGGCGGGTCTGGGGCTGGACGGAAGGAGCTTCGAGTGCTCCCAGCCACTAGCGGTTGGGGGGCGTGGCGCCGTAGCCGCGCGGCGGCCGTCGGGAGGCCAGGCTGAGTTGCCCGAGGAACGGTTCGCTGGGGTCGGCGTCAGCCTCCGCGGTCCGTTTCCTGGAGCTGCGACCGAGGCCATGGTGAGTGCCGGGGAGGCCCCGAGCCCGCCGGGGCGCGGTGAGCGCCCCCGTCCCGGGGCGGACGGGCGACCGAGGCGCCGTGCGTCCCAGCCCGTCACCGCTGACCCTCTCTGGGCGTCCCTGCACACTCTCCCTATTACTTGCATTCCCCCGGGTTCCCCTGGGGGCCCGCAGAGTACGGACCGGACACTGGGTCTGATGTCCCCAGGCGAGCCAGACATTCCAGGTGTTTGCATTTCGCAGCTCCCAGCTGCGCCTGGACGCGCTCCTTTTGAGGGCGCGCGGTGTGTGCCTGACCCCGGTGCCGATCCGCACGCCCCGTCCTGCCTGGTCAGCCCTGCTGGGGGCGAGGCCCTGACCCTCCTTTGGGTTACCGTTTGTCCGTTCCCGTTAACATGCATATCCTCAAAACCACTTGGAGAGCCTCTGGAAAATTAACTTGCTTGAGCTTCACTCCCAGAAATTATGAATGAAGAGGGATAGGGCTCGGCATTTGCAATTGTAAAAGCTTACAGGTGATTTTAGTCCACTGACGTGATCGAGGACGCCAGGGTTCTAGTTAATTCACTGAACTACTAAATGTTTTGAACGCAGATGAGTAACAGACTGGAGGGTAGAATTTGACTGCTGTCAGATGGGCACAAGTGTGGATTCAGAGAGAGCCCCCCACCCGTTCCTCTCGCCGGCTTCTCGGCAGTCCTCTACCTTTCTCCTGTGTGCCCAGCCCCCTGTCCTGCCAGACCCCTTTCAGGCCTTCACTTTACAAACCCTGACCCTTCCAAGCAGATGGCAGAGGCTGACAGCTCTTGAACCTCATGCTGCACCCTCCATGCTGTTCTGTGATTTCGCCCACATTCCACTGCAGAGAAGGAAGTGCTGGATGCACTTCTGTCCTTGCTCTAGGCCACATGCTCCATCCTACAGGACTCTGCTTCCCGTTACATTCTTTCTTTCTTGTGCATTCAGCCTCTTCCTCCCTATTTCCTTCTCCTCAGGGTTTAAGTCACACATCTTAAGAAAATGAAATTAAACAAAAGCACGACCCCCGTCGTGTAGGTGCTTCGTTGCTGCCCAGTCCTCCCATCCATCAGCGAGTGTCAGGGGGCCCAGTGTCCTGCTGGCCTCCACCTCTGCCTGTGCCTTCCATCCTCAGTCCTCTGCGGTGGGACTTCCTCTCCAGTGGCTTCAGTGAAGTTTCCTTGCTTAAGCTTCTAATGGCCTTTTAAGTCCCAAATCCAGTAATTTCTTTTCAAGGTTTATTTCATTTAGCAGCTCTGTGAAAACTGAAGTTCTTGGACATCCATGCCCCCCTTTTATCACTAGCTTTGCCTCATTTTTTAAATGCCATTCTTGGGGTCTCCTTAATTATTTTCACTTCTCAGTCTCTGCATTTTCCTTGGGTGACTTCATCCACACACATGAGCTCAACTGATGCCTAAGCTTGCGCTCCTAAATTTCAAGTATCTCAGCCCTGCTGAGGCCTAACCTCGTTGCTTCCGGGATATCTTGATCTGGTTACCACAAAGGCCACTCAAACTTGACATGACCAGAACTGAACTTACTGTCTTTCTACTTGGTTTCTCATTTTCCCAAGTTAATTAATGATACCACTGTACTGTAACTTAAACCGGAAACCAGTTATCCTGCATTCCTTTCTCTCCTACATCTCCCATATTGGTCATTAGATCCTGTTTTAGCAGAGATCTCATTTCTTGCCTGTACTATCGTCGTAGTGTCTGGTCTGGCAATTTTTCAATCCCTTAATTTCTCCATCATAGGGAGGAGTTTTCTAAAACCCAAACCTGTTGATGGTACGTCTTCACAACTCAATAGAGCCCTCATTTCCTGCAAGTATCTGGAATGGCGTACAAGGCCCTCTGTGATCTAGAACTTACCTGTCTAGCTTCCTTGATGCCTCTCCATTTCCTAGATGCTCCTTTTAGCTACTTGCCTTTCAGTCGAACATTCCAGGTATCCTCAAACTGGTCAGACACCTGTTCCTCCTACTTTGCACATGCTGTTCCTTGTACACAGAATGCCCTTATCCCCTTGTTTGCTTACCAAACTCCCTCCAGTCTCAGGTTAGAGTCTCTTGTTCTGTGATGCCCTCTCTACTCAAGGAGAATTGACACTTCATTCTTTTTTAATCACGTCTTTATGTGGTACATGTCTCTCTCACTGTACTTATCACATTCATTTGAAATTATTTGTTTATAAACTTACCACTCCTGCTAAAACGAACTGTTAGACTAATGGATCTTTATTTGTTCACTGCTATTGCTTAGATCGTATTAGGCACTCAGATATCTGCTGAATGAAGAAACAGAATAAGAAAGACTGGTAGGGGCTCTGAGAGGACTCAGAGAACTTGGGGGATAGTGGAGGGTGGAATCCTCACTTTCCAGAGTCAGAAAAGCCATCAGAAATCAAGTACCAGAACACGTGAGTGGCTAGCATCCAGCGGCCTGTGCAGCAGCCCAGGGAGCTGGGGGTGGCATCTGTCCAGTACTGTTTGTGTCTGCCTCACATTTTGTCATTTGGACTTCCCACCTGCCCTGAGGGCAGCGAGCTCCTCTGCCTGCCCTGGTGGAGTTGTTTGTGGTGGCTCTTTCAGATAGGGACCAGGAGGCCCCTCTGAGGAAGTGACTTCTGTCCTGAGACCTGAATGACAGTGCAGTGACCTGGGGAGGTGTACCAGGCAGCTGTGACAGCATTAGAACCCCTGAGGCAGCAAAGAGTGTGGCCTAGTTCAGCAGCTGACCTTATGGTTTAGTGGTAAACCGTACAGCACACGGTGGGGTGGGGTTGGCAGCAGGGGGGGGACCCTGGTGGACAAGATGGGGTGTGCATGAGACGGCGGCAGAGTCCATGCCACCTGTGTGCACTACAGCCGTGTTCCTCAAATTGTAGGTCGTAACCCATTACTCAGTCAGGACATCAGTTTGTCGCTTGAACCAACATTAAAAAAGGCAACATAAAATAGATGACTTATTCATTGTATATAGTAAAGGTAACTTATGAAACCTTTGTTTTGAAATGTATATGGATTGTGTGTACTGGCAAACTATTTTTCTTACTGTGGGTCATGATCCAGAAAGTTCAAGATATGATGTACCTTGAACAGTATATACTTTCGAAGGCAAAATAGTTGATGTCAAGGCATGCAGATTTCTTATTCCTACTTTGACCTAGTGACAGTGACTGTGTGGAAGAAAAATCTCTGAGTTTAACAACAGCTTAAAATTGACTAGAGTAGAATTTTCAAATTTCTTTCTGCACCCGAATTTCTTCCCTGTCAGCTGCTGTCAATCCTTTATGAGCAAGCGGAGTCCTTTAGAAAAAGAGAGAAATGGATGCCCTTCTCTGTGCTTAGTGTAGCCTCTGGCTTATGTAAAATATCAACGGCTGATGGTCTCCCTAGAAGCAGTGAAGATGGAGGTCATTAGCTCTGCCAGTGTGGTTTCCTGACCTCCGCAATTAGGTTATCTGGTCAGCTTTTTCTGCATCTGGTTTGTTGCAGTTGGAGCTTCTGGCACCAGAGTGAGGGTCTGGTTGTAAATTCTGAGCCACCATTACTTTGTGAGGTGGAGACAGACACCTGTTGTTTAGTATGTCTCACACATGTTGTTTAGGGTAAAGAATATACTGGAGTGATCAATTTATTTACTTTTCAGCAGAAAGAGATTCGAAAAGATAATTCCAAGACTCTTCTATCTAATAAAGAGAGGTGAATGTTATATATCTTCTAAAATAGAGCATTGATTTGCCTACCATTAACCCAGATGAACTGCTAGTATAACCTATACAGCCTTTAAAGATCGTTGGCTGCGTTCCACAAGACTTAGACTGAACAGATGTCTCAAAGTTGTGGTTTTAAAAGAGCCTTCAAAGAGAGTTTCATGATTGCTAAATAAAAAATAAGATTTTGTTCCATGATATGTTTTTTAGTTTCCAGCTTTATAAAACTTCTTCTAAATAGGTTTACTGTTTTTATCCTTAGCACAAGCTTCTTACCCAGCTAGGTTTCCTTTTGTTACTTGAACTGCTAACTTGGAAGGACTGCAGTTCTAAAGCACTAGGCAGGATTCCATTTATTGGAACTGAATCAGAATGCAGAGAACCTTAATTAGAAATGTGAAACTTAAAAAAAAATCTCCCTGCATGTTTTATGAATGCAGTCCAGTGCCCATTATATTCTTCTCTGGCAGCAACCAGTGATATTTACAAAACTGAATAGCAGCCAGTTAATATAATGCCCTAATTTTCCTCGCATGTAGCTCTTTTATCTTGTTCTAGTCTTTTTCTGCCTTTTAAATCCCCTCTTTCCCTCCCTCCTTCCATCCCTTCCTCCCTCCCTACCTCTCCCTCAATCTGGTTCTCCCTCCCCTCCTCCCTCCCTTCATGTCTTCCGTTCTTCTTTCCAGCTTTATTGATATATACTTGACATCTAACATTGTATAAGTCTAAGGTGTACAGCATGTTGATTTGATACATTTATATGTTGAAATGTCACCACTGTGGAGTCCACTAACTTCTCCTTCGCATCACATAATTACCATTATGTTTTTGTGGTGAGAATACTTAAGATCGACTCTCTTAGCAACTTTCAAGTATATAATACAGTATCGTTAACAGTAATCACCATGACTTACATTAGATCCTCAGAACTTACTCATCTTCTAACTGGAAGTTTTTGTCCTTTGACCGACATCTCCCCATTTTCCTCACCCCTGCTCCTGGTAACCTCCGTTCTAACTCTCCGTTTCTGTGAGTTCGGCTTTGTCAGATCTTATGTATAAGTGAGCTCATATGTATTTGTTTTTGTCTCGCGTATTTCACTTAGCATGATGTTCTCACGGTCCATCTGTGTTGTCACAAACAGCAGAAAAATACTGTGCCTCATGAACAATATTCTTTCTCATGGATGAATAATATTCCCTTGTATATATGTACCACATTTTTTTTTATCCATTCATTCACTGATGGACATTTAGGTTGTT